AAAGAGAGCCTTGGTCGAAAATATCAATTCGGAAATATCTGGAGCAGTGTGGAACAGCTGGAGGGGAAATATCTGCAAAATATCTGAGTTTTGGACACCAGTGGCCGACAGCCACTTTTAGTAGCCGACGGGCCACCTTAAGTGGCCGACCAGCACAACTAGTGGCCGACAGCAAAAATATACTCTCCAGGTCCAACTTCAAATGAGTATATCTCCTTTATCTAGACTCCTTTGCAGGTCATTCTTATGCCTAAACTGAAGCATCGGAAGTTTTCTTTCCAATGGTGGCAGCCTCACATAAAAATTCCAACTGTGCAAAAAGATATGCTTAATCAGATTGATACCTAACTTCAACCAGCCATATCTCCTTCATCCGAACTCGGCTTGAGAAGATTCTTGAGTGCAAAATGAAGCCCTGGAAGTCCACTTTCAACGGTGGTGACCTTATAGCTGAAATCCAAGTGTACAAAAGGATAGGACTGATTTAGCGAGGGCTGCTTGATTTCGTCTCTTAACGGTTCATGCCCAACTTCTTCCTCAATTAGGTTTCTTCCCTCTCCTCTAATTTTCTTCAACTCCAAACCTCTAACCAAGATGTTTTAAAGATTTTTTCAAAAAGTTCACCTCTCTTTCATGCATTTCCGCTTTGTCCTTGTTCAGTTTACTGAAAAGCGCAACATTTAACGAAATATGAGCCTCGGAACATTGTAGAAACTTGTTTCAAAAATATTTTGAAAGAGAGGGTTTTAAGGTCTAAAATCATTTTGGTCAAAATGGTTTTGGTCCACAAATGGGGCGTGAGGTTAGGATTTGGAGCTCCTCTTGCCGAAGAAATCGAACTTTTGCATAGCATAGCCTATACCATCGAGTAAACAATCAGTGGTGCCCAAGTCTTCAGGGCAGTCAAAAATGAGGTGTCTACACCGACCCGTAAAAAATATAGCCTAAGCTAGGTCGCTACGGGCTGCGAGTGGCCTTCAGTTAGATTGCGGGCCGGCAGGCGGAGTTTACACTCGTACAAGGCCTATGTGATATCAGCTTAAGTTTTACTCCCTTCATCTCAAAATATTAATCCCTTATTCCTTTTTTCATTATTCCAAAATATTAGTCCCTTTTTGAAAAATCAATGACTAAAATAATATGAATTCCTAATTTTGCCATTTTTTTAAATTTATTAACAACACAAAAAATACAATTATGACAAGTGATATTTCCAAAAAATATATATTATCAAAGAGTAATTTTGGAAAATTAATCACTCTGTTTGGTTCTAGTTTTCAGAATTTACTTTTCAAAAAATTATACTTTTTCGTTTTTCGTATTCTTTTCACTATTTTTTTAATATTTTAAGCAATTTTTTAAATTTTTTAGACACACCTAATATAAATACATTTAAAAGTATAATATTTGTAAAAAATTCAACATATTTTTAGTATTTGTGTGTATTTATTAATTTTTTAAAATATTTTAGTATTTAGATATATCTAAGTAATGTGCATCTAACAAAGTAAAAAAAATTGCTTGAAATTTTAAAAAGATTCACTAAAAATAAAAAAATACAAAATACAAAAAGCTTAATTTTCAAAAAACTAAATTCAAAAAACTAAAACCAAACACATTGAATCGCCGTTTGGCATTGGTTTTTTTGAGTTGAGACTTTTTTAGTTTGGGATTAAAAAGTTCGTTTGGTTTGATTTTTTTGATTTTTTTACTTTTGTGAGAGAAAAATGAAATGATTATGATTTAGATGTGACATTTTGTCTTATTAACTTATTTACGGGTGGTTTGAGATGTTCTAAATAAGTGCACTTTGACTTTTATAAATAAAAAAAATGTGTAGAAAAGTAGAGAAAGTGGGTAAAAAAATAGAAAGCTGATGTTAATTGATGTGATCCAAATAAATGCATATACGCAAAAAAAGTATATTTTTTTAGTGCATGCCAAATACTTGGGAAAATCTATTTCCACACATCTACTCATCTCTGTATACGCATTTAATGAAATTTTATTTGAATGACAATTGTATCCTAAAACAAAATTACTATAATAGATACCAAAACACATCCATAATATTATATCAGAATTCTCTGTACACATCCTTTTAAAACAAACAAAAAAATCTCAATACACTGTGATTTCATCTGAAAATGTTTTCGGCAGCTCTGTAGTATGTAACCTTTATGCTTCGTTCTCCTCTTCTACTTATACAGTTACTTCAGTAGATAACTTATTGTATTTATTTTGTGAAAAATCAATTAAATAAAAGGTGTACAAAAACTCTAATGCACTGTGAATTGAAAACATGTAGACTGACATATGTTTATCTAGTGGTCATAGTTTTTCCATTGTTTGTCACTTTTTACATTTTTAGGGCTCATGAAGACGGCAGCGAGAGGCGGTGCTGCAGTGGTGGATCTACCTAAACCGCAACACAATCTGGTGGCGGTAACGGAGGTGGAGGTTCAGGGTCTGTTTGGTGGAAATGCTGGTGAAAATCGAGGTCCGAACTAACTTTTCTGGTGAGAATTACGATTTGTTTGGATGTGTTGAGAGTGCAGTGGTTAGAGATGACCCGATTCTAGCTTGGTTCAGTGAATTCAACGACAAGAATGGCGGCCCGATTCTCTATGATGGGTTAATTCGAACCCAATTTGGTGGAAATGAAGTTCTAATTTTTGGGGGTGAAGCAATTCAGGGCATCTCCGATGAAGCCTCCGACAGAATTGACAGTCTGAACCTTAATTCTGGACCATTTTAGGAACCCTCTGGCGAAATTATAAGTACAGAGATTGGTCTTAGTGTTAAAGGAGCTCATGGTCAAACGAAGATTCTGGATGGTAGAGAAGTTTAGGGGCTGTTTAGCATACCCATTGAAGGCATTAATCAGTTCACGAACTCTGGTAGCAAAGAAATTGAGGTTATTGAGAAGAAGAAAAAAAATGACGGGAAAATGGGATAAAGATGTGTGGAATGAGGGTTAAATGGTGTGTACAATAGTTATGATTGAAGGATAAAATTGTAATTTTCAGTGTGTAGATTGAAAAAAATAATCAATAAATAAATTAATACGTGTGAGTATTGAGAAAAAAATGTGCACTGAGATAATCATGCGTGTGGAAATAGAGGGTATGCTTGGTTTGATTTTGAGAGAGTAGTTTTTAAAAATTGTTTTGGGAAGAGAGCTTAGAAATTTTTTTGGTTTATTTGGTTGTGTATTTTGAAAGTAGTTTTGGAGTTTGGGAGTTTGGAATGATTTGATATTTTGTTATAATTGAGTAGATGTGCGTGAGAGAAAAAGTGATTGATTGATAAGTAAAAGAGAAAAAGTGATTTTGGAAATTGTTTTAGAAAATTTACAAACCAAACAATTTTTTTAGAAATTTTTTTCCAAAATCACTCTACAAATCCAAACCAAACATACCCAGAATTTCCCCAAATACTTACTTAGCTTATTTTGTCTTTTGTACTTTTTTAGCCCAACATTAGCTAAACAAAGGCTATATTTTTTTAAAATGTAATAATTATACTATCAAAAAAAAGTTGAATTGTTCAAAAAATGATTCAGTGTGTTTGGTTTGAGTTTTTTTGATTAAGTTTTTTGAAAATTGAGTTTTTTTATTTTCTTATTTTTTTTTATTTTTAGTGAATATTTTTAACATTTTTTTTACTTTTTTACATGCACCTTACTTAGATGTATCTAAAAAGTAAAAAAATTGTGAAAAAATATTTTAAAAAATACATAAAAATACAAAAAAAAATGTACTGAATTCTCGTATTTTTTTATATTTTTGGTATTTAGTGAATTTTTAAAAGGTTTTTTTCACAATTTTTTTACTTTTTAGGTATATTTATGTTAGCTATGTCTAAAAAGTAAAAAAAAAATTTAAAATATTAAAAAAATTTAGTAAAAACAAAAAAAATATGAAAAATAAGAAAATAAAATCTTTTGAAAAGTGTTTTTTGAAAAACCTAACCAAGCAAGCTGATTATTATTTGGGAGATTTACCAATAAATCTCAAATGTTAAACTTATGAACCAATTGGTCCCAATTTTTTTCTAATAAACCGTTTAGTCCTTGGATATTTTGAGGGACCTTAATGCCCTCATTTAGATGTTATTAGATGCATGCTCTTTACGAGGGCGTGTCACGTGACACGCACAATGGGTGTCACACATCAACAAAGTACACTAAGGCTCTTTTATATTTTTTGCCTTGGAGTGTCACGTGACACACATAATAAGTGTCACACATCAACAAAGTACACTTAAAGCTCTTTATGCTTTTTGCTTTGAAGTGTTACATGACACACACAATATATCACGTGACACACACAATGGGTATCACACATCAACAAAGTATACTAAGGCTCTTTATGCTTTTTTGTCTTGAAGTGTCACGTGACACACACAATGGGTGTCACACATCAACAAAGTACACTAAGGCCCTTTATGCTTTTTGTCTTGGAGTGTCACGTGACACACACAATATGTCACGTGACACGCACAATGGGTGTCACACATCAACAAAGTACACTATGGCCCTTTATGCTTTTTGCCTTGGAGTGTCACGCGACACACACAATAGATGTCACACATCAACAAAGTACGCTAAGGCTCTTTATGCTTTTTGCCTTGAAATGATGTATGTCACGTGACACCCACGTGACACACACAATGGGTGTCACACATCAACAAAGTATACTAAGGCTCTTTATGCTTTTTGCTTTGCAATGATGTATGTCACGTGACACACACACGAAAGGGTATAATTGACCACGCAATATTGTCAAATAAAAGTGATAGAATCAACTGGTAAGATATTTCCCCACTAATAGGACTAATCAGAACAATAAAAATAATCTTAAGACCAATCAATAAAATTATTTGTGAGATAAAATTTATTGGTAAATATCCCTTATTATTTTGAGACGGGTAGTAAATTAGAATTATTAGTATTATTTTTTTTCATATTTATAAATTTTAATTTTATTATTATTTTAACCGAGTCTGTGTTTTTCATTTAAACTTTTTCAGGCTCTCGCAAGACTCGCAGATTCGCTGGCGTTGCCCTTCCCTGCAAGTAAACAGCAAAACGCACGACGCCTCTCTCGATCCTCCCAACACCATGCCCACAGGTCAGAGACCCAACACTTCCACTTCTTTTTACATACTTTGATTTTATTTTATTTTTATATATATATTTTGATTGAAATCGAAAGCTAACATGCTTTGTTCTTCCAAATCACACTGTAATTCCAATTTTCGTCTTCGTTTGTTCAATTTATTTGCTGTATATCTTGTTACTATTGCGCACCCTTTATGTCATTCTATTCTAAGTAACAGAGTAAGGTTTGATTTCTGTTTTTATCTTATATTGTTATGCGATGGGTCGGTGGCAAATTTCGATTCCATTTCTAGGTGTATTTTTGGGTTTTGCTGAATGATTAATTTATAGTAGTTGGCTTTTTGGGTTGTGCACTATTCAAATGCTATCTTCGTTGTTTTATCTTCAATTTTTATGTGCTGGGTCGGTGGCAAATTTCGATTCCATTTCTTGGTGTATTGGGTTTTTCTGAATGATTAATTTCAAATAGTTGGCTTTTTGGGTCTGACACTATTCAAAAGGCTATATGTGTTTGCTCGGTGGCAAATTTCGATTCTATTTCTGGGTGTATATGGGTTTTACTGAATGATTAATTTCACATAGTTGGTTTTTGGGTCTGGCACTATTCAAAGGCTATCTTCAATTTTTATGTGCTGGGTAGGTGGCAAAATTTGATTCCATTTCTGGGTGTATTGGGTTTTTCTGAATGATTACTTTCAAATAGTTGGTTTTTTGGGTCTGACACTATCCAAAAGGCTATATGTGTTTGGTCGGTGGCAAATTTTGATTCTATTTCTGGGTGTATTTGGGTTTTACTGAATGATTAATTTCACAGTTGGTTTTTTGGGTCTGGCACTATTCAAAGGTTATCTTCAATTTTTATGTGATGGGTCGGTCGCAAAATTCGATTCCATTTTTGTATCTGGTTTTGCTGAATGATTAATTTCAAATAGTTGGCTTTTGGTGTCTGGCACTACTTGAAGGCTATCTTTATTGTTTTATCTTCAATTTTTATGTGTTGGGTCGGTGGCAAATTTCGATTCCATTTCTGGGTGTATTTGGGTTTTACTGAATGATTAGTTTTTTTACCATTCAAGGGCTATCTTCAATTTTTATGTGCTGGGTCAGTGGCAAAATTCGATTCCCTTTCTGGGTGTATTGGGTTTTTCTGAATGATTAATTTCAAAGGTTATATGTGTTGGGTCTGTGGCAAATTTCAATTCCATTTCTGGGTGTATTTGGGTTTTACGGAATGATTAATTTCACATAGTTGGTTTTTTGGGTCTGGCACTATTCAAAGGCTATCTTCAATTTTTATGTGCTGGGTCGGTCACAAAATTCGATTCCATTTCTGGGTGTATTGGGTTTTGCTGAATGATTAATTTCACATAGTTGGCTTTTTGGGTCTGGCACTATTCAAAGGCTATCTTTTTTGTTTTATCTTCAATTTTTATGTGTTGGGTTGGTGGCAAATTTTGATTCCATTTCTGGGTGTGTTGGGTTTTGCTGAATGATTAATTTCACATAGTTGGTTTTTTGGGTCTGGCACTATTCAATGGCTATCTTCATCGTTTTATCTTCAATTGTTATGTGTTGGGTCAGTGGCAAATTTCGATTCCATTTCTAGGTGGACTGGGTTTTGCTGAATGATTCATTTCAAATAGAATGTCTATATATATATATTTTGGGGTATTATACGTGGGGTGTTCAGAGTGAGAATCAAATATATATATATATTTTATGATTCTTGGCGTTGCCTGTCATCGTGTACCAGATTTTCTAATTTGTTGGTGCTAATTGCAGCATCAATACATTTATAGCTATTAGAGTATTAGCAGGACTAAATAATTTAATTTGATGATGCTGTTGTGTTCAGTTTATAACCAAAAGCCTCATTCCATTCATAGGTAATTGAATATTAGTGGGAAGGAAAAAAAAAATTTACATTGATGTTGATAACCAGTGTGTTCATTTGCATGAACTCCCACTTGTTTTTATAATTGTAGCTCTCATCCTGTTTATACTAGAGTGTTGGTAAGAACGTATGACAAACACTGAAATATCTACGCCTGCCTGCCTGCCAATCCCTTTCGTTCACATTTTTCAACTTGTAGTAGTGGAGATTACTTGTTCGTGGGTGTAGCATGCGGCATGTGGTCAATTGGTGCATTTACTGCATTTGTAAAGCTAGTAATTCATGGGATTTTACTATGTTGTTGGGGAAAAAAAATTAGCATATCTTTGGTCCAATTTGCATTTAATGTGAAGAGAGAATAAAGAAACATACTAGGTTTCCTCAACCACATGCACTGGAGGTTACATCTTCCCTCATTGCGAATTTCAATTTTAATTTTTATCTTTTGGTTGCATAATTTAATGAACAAGTTTATCTTTCCTCCTTCTCCCTATAAAAGGACTGAATGAATACGTGAAATGCATTTAAGCAATATACAATCTATATTTGAATACTTAGAGGCAATATTGGCTGAGGTGCTTTTTCTGCAACTTAAATAAGCTACCATTTCCCCCCCCCCAAAGAGAAAGAGAGAGCCGGGGGGGGGGGGGGAGACATGTGCAATAAAATAGTTGATTATCATGAAGTTAGGAAAGGGGTTCTTTTAGATAATGCTTATACATTATAAACTTTCAGCTTAGGTTAGGTGAAGTTGTCAGTCTTTTGTTATATGATATCACATTTCCCCCCTAGATTGATGGCAAACTTGGGCTATTGGGACAATTGTGGTGGATGAGTTGTCTTGGTATACATATGTGCCTTATATCCTGATTATTTTGGATTGAAAAGTTGAATTTATATATTTTTCTTGAAAATAGTAAAGAAAAACAATGGACTTTTAAAACAGACAACAAAGGTAGGAGCCCAGCAAAGTTGATTTAGAACAGCAAGAGAAAAGCTTTATTAGGGTTGAATATTTTTGGGTTTCGTGACTGAAAGTTTGATAAAATTATAAGGTTTAAGGTTCGTGTGGCGATAACAGAGGGTAGGTTTGTAATTGGGAGTAGAAAACAAAGGCGTTGGGGCTGTTTCGGGAGCTATGAACAATACCCTGGAAACAGTAGCATGGCTGCTTTGTTGTTTTTTAGGTTTGATTGTTCAAGGAAGTAAAAGGGGTTGGCTTTGGAAGCTGAGATGTTTGAGAGGTGTAGGGGGATTAAAAATAATAGTGTTGAGTGTTTACAGATTAGAAGTGAAAAAAATTGTAGGAAAATAAAAAGAATTTGGCTGACGGATCCTAGCAACTTTGGCTATCACAGTAGTTGCTTGGTTTTTGGAAAATAATTATTGTTTACAATTGTGAAAACTATTTTGGATGCTAACTATTAAGCAAAATACCTAATCAAACGATGAACAAATTATAAATTGCAAGCAGGTTATTTTATATCTGATCAGTTTCATTTTATATGTGGAACTCATTCACTTGTTTGAGCTTAGTTTGTATTAAATAACTCTATGAATAGTTGTTGGTTGGGGAGTCAAGTGTTTGTAAACTTTGATGGAAATTGTTTGGTTTATAGCTGTCTTTTAAATCAATATTATTTTTAGCTTTTATCTTACTTAAACTATGCATGCGAATTTATTAGCCTGGTTGGCATCAACAAATATTTTATATGTTTTTCATATCCCTATTGTTGTTGAGCTTATAGCTGCATATTTTGTGATGCACCAACTGGCTACTTTGTTAACTACAGTTGGAGGCTCTCTAGTACTCACTCTCACATTGTAACATGTTCATCTCTGGCAGTCAGTGTAAAATGGCAAAAAGAGACCTTTTCTGCGGTGGAAATTGACACTAGTCAGCCCCCATATGTTTTCAAATGTCAGTTGTATGATCTAACAGGAGTACCTCCTGAGAGACAGAAGATAATGGTTAAAGGTGGTTTATTAAAGGTAATCAAATAGTTCTTATGATTTGATTACTTGCAAAACTCATTTTATCTGTGAAACTATAGTGAATGACTCTGTATATGTTGTTTGAGAGTTCTTGTAACTTCTTGTTTCTGAAGGTGGCTATTAACCTCCTTGTATTTTCCTCACAATGTAGGATGATGCCGATTGGTCAACATTAGGAGTGAAAGAGGTGTATAATCTTTAAATTTCGTACAACACTTGGCTTTGTTGTACTATTGGAATAAATTGTTGAGTATATTGCATGATGTCTATTGTGTCTAGGGTCAAAAGTTGATGATGATGGGAACAGCAGATGAGGTTGTGAAGGCCCCAGAAAAGGGCCCTGTTTTCATGGAAGACCTTCCAGAAGAAGAGCAAGTTGTTGCTGTGGTAAGTTGCTTGAATTTTTTGCAGTAGATATGAATACTAATTTAGTTTTTCCTCAGGTTCCTGTTTTGCATTAGGTTGGGAAGGGGTAGGTTTATGTAACTGAGTTTAGCCATTAGGTGGGTCAGTAAGGGGACTTCAGACATTTTGCTCTGCTTTATTATCTTTCTGACACTTGGTTGCAGTAAATGTAAGTATACTTACTTGATTGTGGTAGTTTGTCATCCTGGCCTGCCCTTGTTGGGATGGTGTGGGCATATACAATCTGCCTTGGGCGGGATTCCTAAACTGATGTCAAGCTTGGAGTTGCTTCAAGTTGCAATTGACCCTAATTTGATGGTGTAACTCCATCTCAAATTTGGTCTGTTGCCATCCTTGACTATGCCCTTTCTCCGTTTATTCTCTATGCTATTAAGTTATGATTTGTATTCACGCTGTGACTTAGTTGTTTAGTTCATCCACTTTGCTGGTTAGTTTTTCTTGTTTTATTTAATCCGGTTATTGATTTTTTTTTTTACCCCCTTTTTTATTTAACTTAACCAAGTTGTTTTGTAGTTCCCTTCACTACTTCCATAATTTCTTAACTTGCACTCCGCATCAGTATCTTGTTTTTTGGACTTAAAACCATAGAATCAAGTTTGCTGTGTTAACTTAAATAATTTCTTTTTCACGTAGCCTGCCTCTAAAATGTACTGTATTCTTTGAATTTGGCCAGGAAAATGTTACAGATATTTGATCATACTTTTGTATGCCCTTTTAATGATTTTTTAACGAATATCACATCTGCTTCCAGGGTCATTCTGCTGGCTTATTTAATCTTGGAAATACCTGTTACATGAACTCTACAATACAATGCTTGCATTCAGTTCCAGAGCTGAAGTCAGCTTTGATTAAGTGAGTTGTCTTCCGTGTGTACAAGGATATCTAATGTTCAGAAAATGATTTAGAAGTGTGGTCTTCATATATATTATATGCATTATACTCACATGATTGAGATTTTTTGTTTGGTTTTTTTGTTGCTGATTAGGTATCCCCATTCTGGAAGAAGCAATGATTTGGACCAGACTTCTCATTTGTTGACCGCCGCCACACGAGAATTATTTACTGAGCTTGATAAAAGTGTCAAGCCAGTTGCGCCAATGCAATTTTGGATGGTTTGTCCTTTTGCTTAGTTGTTGTATCTATTAATTTTTGAAGTCCAAAAAATTCATAATTACTGTATATCCAATGCTTGGTGTCATCCAGATAGATGATTCTACAATGAACGTAAATATATCTTAGTTAGAACGTCACTGGTGATAAGGGGACATAGGCGCAAAAACATTTTGCATTTGTTGAATTTTATTTCCTCCATGAATGAATGGACCTTATTTGTAGAAGTTTTTATCATAGTTGAATCTTATGGACTGCTTGTTATCAGAGCCAAGGTCGCTTTGTGGAAAATATCTTTGACAATTTCTTCTATGGATGATTGGTGGACATATTGCTTCTGTTCTCATTGATAGGTGAGGCAAAAGAGATATCCTAATGGATTCTTCATTTGTCACAGGTTTTGCGGAAAAAGTTTCCTCAATTTGGGCAGCTGCATAATGGATCCTTTATGCAACAGGTTTCCCCTCCTCTCTCTCTCTCTCTCTCTCTCAAATGTGTTTTCATCATATTCTTTTTTTTTTTTATTCTTTGATAGATATGTTTTCACTATATCATATCATTTTACTGCTTTAACTTTGCTGCGATGTTGATAAATAGCTTTAAGCCTTTAAATATATGACAGGATGCTGAAGAATGTTGGACACAACTTTTGTACACCCTCTCTCAATCTCTTAGATCGCCAGGTTCCAGGTATTTTGTTTCTTTGCTGGAGGCATTAAATTACTTTGATTTTGAATTGATGTGTCGTCTATAATTGGGTAATATAAGTTCATACTTTTTAGTTGTAAGCTAAATCCTTGAGATAGTCTTTTACATTCTTGGATACCTTGCACAGTTGGTGCACCAATTCAATAATATCAATGTTTGAGTTTATCTTTTTCATCAATTACCATAGCATCTTGTACTATTGGCAGATGCTGACCTATTCTCTCTCTCTCTCTCTCTCTCTCTCTCTCTCTCTCTCATGGTCATGCCTAATGTGACTCTCTTTCAGTGAAATTTAATTTGTCCTTTTTTTGGAAACCTTGTTTATTCCCCCTTCATTTCATGAGATTTGTTATGCTATGCTTCTATCCTGTGTAGTGCTCACCCAAAATTTTGACTCTTCTTTTTAATCCAACTTGCTGTGTTTGTTAAGGATCACCAGTTTTCTTTTTCTGTGTTTTTTTGGATAAGTACTAGTTTCTCTTTAATTCTAATGCAATCATCTCAATAATGTTTATTTGCAGCGAAAATATGGATACCATAAAGGCACTCTTCGGTGTGGAACTTGTTAGCAGGTATTTTTCTGATAGTAGGTTTTTTTTTTTTTTTTGATATATTTTTTTACATATATATTTAAATATAGCCATTAGAAACATGTGGTGATGTTGTTTAATTTAATATTTTAGAATTTCACCTGTGGAATTTTTGTATATGTTGGTCTTATTTGATGCTTAACAAATTGTGTTTGTAGATTTATCGCATTGACATCATTAAATGTGACAATCTAATCTGTGTGTGTGTGCATGCGCACTTGTGTGATAAGTGATTTTATTGTGTTCTTGTCCTCATACACTTTGTGAAGGCTCATGTGTTGGCTTGTTGATGCAGTTGCTAGTGAAAGTCATCTGCTAGAGCATATATAAATTTCATATTTGTATGTTTATTTATACCTTTGAGATCTTTTATGTTCTGTAATTCATGGATGACTTTATGGAGGAAGCATAAAAGAGTCTTAAAGCTCTGCAAACTCTTAAAATTGTATACGTTAACTTGGGTAGAACGGTAGAACACTTGAAGAAGAAAAGAGCTGCAGAGATCAGTAAAAACTTTAGAAGTATCGGTAATATTGGGTTGCTGATTAGTCTTATTTGATTCATATCTCGTGAAGTAGTTAGGTTTTGCTGTTTTCTGAGGAGTTAGATTTCTGTTACCAAAATTTTCTACATCCTGTATTTTTGACATTAGATCTGTCAATTCAGTTAACCAAACTAATTAAACTAAACTAAGCATTGTGTCTCAATCAAGTAGGGTCATGAATCATTTTTTCGCCATTTCGCTTAGTTAAATTTAATAAATCCATGTGCTTTTTCACTACTGCATCTCATGTATGTCTTTCCGCCGGTTTAACATTTTCATTTACGGTGATCATATCACTCTTCCTTAATACTACATCTACCAATCTTTCGCAGTACATGATCAAACCATCTTTACCATGTTTTCTCTCATATTTGATTGATACTGCTCTTACCATTTTATGAATATATTCATTTTTAATTTTGTTTTAGCACACATTCATCAAAGCATCCTCATCTTGTGTACACTCATTTTATGAACGTGTTGTTTCTTAGTTACGGAACTTTGTCCTGTAAAGCATCACTAGCCTTTTCCTCGAATTTGATGGTATTTGTCAACGTTGATCACATGATATGCTAGAAGAACAAACCTACTTTGTTTCTACGGATCAGATGATTTCCAACATCTCCATCCTATTAATAATTGAACCTAGGTAACGAAGATGTTCACTCTTCGTTATCTCACAGGTTTGAAGATTCACTTCTATATTATTTCTACTTGTATTGTTACTGAAGTTACATTCCATATATTCAGTTTTAGTTCTACTAATTTCAAAACCTTTTGACTCGAGCACTTATTTCCAGATTTCTATTTTAGTGTTAATTCCTCCCATTAGTTTCATCCACTAGATCTGTTAATTCAGTTCTGGATTGAAAATCTCGAAAATATTTCAAAAAGGAAATGACATTTTAAAGACTGCATTTTTTCACTTCAATTAATGAAACTAATAGAAGTCACTTCAGTTACAATTTTATTAGCTTTCTGCCACAGATCAAGCATTCAATGGCCATAGTGAGAATTCTTAGCAATAAGAATTAGTTCCTTGAGGTCTTACCTAAATTTGATTTGGCAGTGGAAAGAATTCCTGTGCGATTTTTCAGGCAAATAGGTCAGATCACCATATTTCTATATGCTAATAGTTCAATGGTTGCACATCCTTTGTTTTTAACAATCTATTGAATATGGCTTCTGCTAAATGCTAATAGCGAGAGCTTAAACTATTTTCTCCTTTTCATCTTCCCTGGAGAGCAGATAGAGTGGTTTTATGGGTTTGTATTGCAATCTAAATATTTGCTTGTCTGGTGTTCGACTAGACTGTGCACTATTGTTTTGTGCCTTTATGGTACAACAGTAGCACTTTAAATCTTTCGGGTTTCTATTTTTATGGCTATGAAAATACTGGCAGACAAGTGTTTCTATTGGATATTTATTTCTTGGTGGTGATGTGAGGTCAGGGTGCATTGCGAAGAAAGTGGTGAAGAAAGCTCAGAGATGGAATCGGTGTATGCACTGAAGTGCCACATATCACATGAAGTTAACCATTTACATGAGGGGCTTAGGCATGTAAGTGCTATATCTTTTCTGTTAAATCCTTGGTTTTTAACGTTGTTCTTGATCTGATTAGCTCTTGCTACTTGTGTCCGGGTTTGAGTTTTGGTGCTTGTGAGATGGACTTCCCCACTCTCCAACTTGAAGATGTTTCTTTCCTAGCAATCGTAATTATTACAGCTTTAAAAAATTTCATAATTTCAATGGAGTTTCCCTAGACCTGACTGGTTTCTTTGCTAGTTACTGCAGGATATAATTTTAAGTTCATGACACCTTAAAGGGTAACTTAAAATAGGAAAGTTCAAAATTATGAAGTGTTTTGCATTCATGAGAGTTTTATGTTGGATGTACACACATGATTTTTACTAAACTAATTGTTTTGAAGTGAAATTGCTATGATTATATTCTAAAATTCTGTTTAAAGAATCTTAGTTTTTGCCATTAAGGCAGTGTTTGGTAGAGTTTTAGAATTATGATTTGAGAATAAAGTTGTATTTTGAGTTTGTGAGATTTGGAATTATGATTTGAAAGGAGAAAAATTGTTTGTTTATGAGTTTTGAATTTTTGATGTGACATATGAAATGAGAAAAGTAGTTTGGTTATGAGTTTTGAAAAGAGTTTTCAAAACTTAAACCAAACACACAACTCAAAATTCTATTCAAAACTCATAACCATACTCTTTTTAAAATTCAATTCA